CTGGACGAAGGAAGCAGTTGAAGATTTCCTTGCGGCAGAGTAGACGTCATTTGCCAAAAAAAAGGACCAGTGGAAGGAAAGGGAGGAAGTATGCATGGCTCGCCGGGCAGTGATCCGGAAATCATGTTTGGGGAAGCGGTTGCAACTCGAGCCCAAGACTCGAGTTTGTCGTCCCTGACCGACGCATCCATGTCGAACCCAAACCTCGGTACATTGATGCCAGGAAACAAGGATGGGTGTTGAATACCAAGAACCGACCATCCGTCAAATATACGCTAGACAGATCGTTTTCGGAAGCCATCAAGCATTGATGTTCAGGGTTAAGCCTTAATACGCAGCGGAAGTTGAATTGAAGCCAACGCTAGGAGTCAAACGGCTCAATATGTCCAATCAATGCTGAGTCAAATGAGACACTTCAAGCCAAGATGTTGAATCGAACGCAAAAGCCCTGGTGCAGGACCAGGTCCAATCCGTCGAAGCCGAAGCTCGATGTCAGATCCAAGCAGTTGAAACCTCAGCCATGAATAGGGTTAAGCAGACTCAGGAAGTTGCAGAAGATTTGGTCCGCCAAACACAAGGTGAAGCGACCCGTTTGGTAAACCATTCACATCAAGTAAATTGCGAGTCAGCAAGACCAACCTGACCAAGTGAAAGCCATGGTGATTGATCGCGCCAACCAAGTCGTTGAAGCGACCAGTGCTTCGAATCAGAAAGAACAAGCGTTGGAATCCACGACTACTCGGATGAACCGTGGGCTTATAACAGTTACTAGAAGTTATGAGGTGAGTTATAAGTGTTATAACATTTACAGGTCCAAGTTGTACACTGTAATTACTTATAACTACTGATAAGTACGCTATATGGTTGTAAAACTTAGCATTAACGATGTTAAGCTGTTGTAAAGGTTTTAAAACTTATGACTTCAAGTTGCTAAGTGTTATAGAAGTTATACTATAGATGTTATACCGTACTTATCCCGTACATAAAAGTATGTTACAAATACACTTACAATGCCTACTAACCTTGATAAACCCACGGTTCACCCCAGTAGGCAATTGAGTGAGATGCAGGGTCGAATGGAAGCAATGATGAGGAGAAGTAGGGATCAAGATGAAGTGCTACGGGCTCTTACCAAGGCTAAAGCCCCTGGAGCTCCAAGCACCATCCCCACAAAAGGCGACCCCATCACCAGCAGCAAGCCCTCTGAGTTCGGGTTCTTCAAAAAAACCATTGATGTTACACGGAAGGAATGAATGAAATGGAAGGCAATGAAATGAAATGAAATGCAATGGAGTGGAATGAAATGAAATGAAATGGAATGGAATGGAACGGAATGAATAAATGAATGAATGAATGAAACGAAATGAAATGAAATGGTTCCGACAGTGCCAGGTACTGCAACCCCAAAGTCATGCCATCCTGCAAGGGAAATCCCGCGCAAGGTTCGTTGATCGCTTTGCCTTCGCTTGCATTGTCTCCTGTTGCCACAGGAATCATGGGTGAAGAGATGCGTCTGGCACCTTCACCAGCTCAGTCCGTTCGCGCAAGGGAGATACCGTTGGCGCCTTTGCAATCTAACATGGCAAGTCGAGAGTCCCTGAATCGATCTTCGTCTTCAAGTGGATCTTCGTCTTCAAGTGACTCGAAAGGAAAAGGTCCAGACAAAAACCCGGGTAGAGGCAGAGGATCACCATCTAATGCACCGGTAAAGGGGGATGGTTCGAGCTCCAGTTCAAGTGATTCGGAAGACCCATACGCAACAGAGAAAAGCTCATGAGTGTCAAACAGTATGATTACGTCCAGATATACCAGCATTGCCTCAACGCGCAGCAAAATGTCGTAGTTTCCGAAACGCAGTCTTTAGTGGGGTTTGCACATTCGCCAAGAATGATGAAAGTGTGGTGTTTCTTTTGGTCAGTCGTTGGGCAGATGGAAAAGAGTTCAAGGGCTCAAATGATTTTCCCATCTTGGACCGCATACTGGGTGCCAAGTTGTTGGATTGGAATTGGCAAAATCGACCAGGTTTGACTTAGAGTTCCCAACCCATCAAGAGAGGCGCCAAGCGAACAATCAGCAGCCAAAAGGGCGCAAGCTGTTGCGGTTGATCTTCCAGAAATTTCAACTGGAGCGAGACAGAGGAACTGCGCTATTGCAACATCATCTCTTGTCATTGAAAACGAATGGGACTGACATCAAAGCTCTAGAAGACTTGAGCCCATTGAGGTTCCAAAAGAATTTCAAGAATCACCCAAAGATGGCACCTGCGATTGACTTTCTCAGAGAGGCAATGGCGGCTCCAAACGCGCCAGCCAATGGTTGTATTGTACACAAAAAGTGAAGCAATCGAGATCTCCCAGATGGGCGTGAATACAACGTCAATGGATAAAGCACTCACGTCTGCAGGCGTGGGTCCAAAGGTTGGTGGCGCGCAATCAGAAACCAAAATCAAGAAGAAACAAGAGAAATTTGAAACCAGAGAAAGAGAGAGACGGAAAGCAAGATCAAGAAACAATTAATGACAAGAAGGAGAAACCCAAGACCACCAAGAAGACTGAGGATGACAAAGATGTTGACGCTGCGCCAGTCCAGCAAGGGGAAGGAAAAGGGAAAGATTGCAAAGGCAAAAAGGAGCAGAAACCACCACTGACAAAGGAGCAGAAAGCGAAATTGCCCAGCGTGTTTTTCGCATAACCTCACGCACGCGTAGCAAGGATTGCGAATACCTCCACGAAGGGAACTGCGCGAGCGCCCGAAACCTCGAATGAAGAGTAATGCCAATCCAAGTTCACGCAGTCATGCCAGAGCCGCCTCAGTCGCCGCAGCAACCGCGTTTGCATCGATCCCGACAGCCGAGGCTGCCCTGAAAGCGAAGAAAGTGTGTAGGAAGGTCACTCGCAGTTCATTGAGATTACTGTGTATGCCTTTGATCAAATCCAAATCCGTGACTACGATCATGACTGCCATTTCTTGTTGCAACCCGTTGTCTCAGGTTGATTGTTCGAGTGCCCCTGCAGATGAATTTGTTGCGTCAAAGGATTCAATGCTATGACTCAAAATAGCTAGATAAGACAACTTAAAAATATTTAAAAAAAAAAGTCCAAACTCACTTCAAAAGTCCAACCAAGACTCACCTTTCACCAGGCAAGTCCAAGCAAAACTCAAAAGTTCAAGGCAAAGTCCAAGCAAAACTCACAGGTTCAAAGGAAAGCTCAAGCGAAACTCAAGGAGCTAGGGAAACCAGGGAAGCGCCCGCTCAGCGAGTTTTGGGCGAGCTTTGCGCGAGCTTTTGACGAGCTTTGGTAGAAGAAAACTAGTCAAAGGCTCAAATCGAAGCTCAAAAACTGAATGCGCACGAGCTTTTCACGAGCTTTCTGCGAGCTTAGCTCGAAATAAACTAGCGCCGAACTCACTACGACGCTCACGCCACGGGAAACGACTTTTGCGCGAGCTTTGATTGGACTTTCCCTGAGTTTTGCTTGAACTTATTAATGATCAGTTGAATTTGCTTTGGACTTTCCTGTTGACTCTTGGGCTTCCATTGGACATCAGCGCAGCAAAAGCGAGTTTTAAGCGAGTTTGAAAACGAGTTTTGGGCAAGCTTTTCGCCGGGAGAAACTGCTTGAAGTAAGTGCGCGCTGATGTTGCCTATGGCGCCGACTCTGGTCACCGAAGTGTTGAATCCCCAATTGCGTGGCGCTCTATATATACTCAGCCTTTCGTGACGCGCAGCACAGCGGAGTCGGAATTTGTTTTTCATTGTGAAGCGTTGGCTGCAGGCTGCGCCACTGAAGCCTTGCTATGTGCTATGTGGGGGGAGCCATTCACCGTGGCAATGCAAAATGCGCCATCTTCTTCGAGGCAGTCTTCGGGAACTTGTGGGGCAATCTGGGTTGGCAAGACAGCGTTCACTTCGCTTCGACGCTGTCTGCGAAGATTGCGCGAGGTGGCCAGCGCGCCATCGGAGATGAGGCTGAAGAGGAGGTCCAAGCGTTCAACAACGCTCGAAGATGAGGGGTGCAAGGCGACTGAAGATGCAGAGGACTCTGCAGCTGGGTCGAGACTTGAATCCTCGAGCGCAGGGAGTATCAGGGAGTGATCATGCATCTAGAAGGGCGCTCTCGAGTAAGAAGTCAACAAAAAGGGACATCGGCGCGGCGGGGCTGCTGAAAGCGCGCAGCTGGCGGCGGACGCGGCGGATCGCGCTGCCGGAACTGCAGAAGCTGCGGCGGCGATGCTTCAGAAGGCCGCGCAGAAGCCAACTGGCCACGCCGGCGAAGGCTGGTCGCAAGAGAAAATGCTAGCTGAATACTACTGCGCAAAGTGTCAGAAGACTTTGTATAGCCTTGAGCCAGGACACTTTTGCATTTTCTTCGTTGGCCCGCAATATTTCACCAACCTGGGAACTTACAGTGGCAAAAAAGATGCCACAGTGAAGCGAGGCGTATTTCAGTAGGAGAGGCGTATTTGCAGATCTCTCAGGCCAGTGGCGTATTTTCAGAAGTGAATAAAAACCCCTTTGGTAAAACATCGAAGCAAGCAACTGCACTGTGGCCGTGCAGCTGCTTGAAGGTCGCAGTTCAAAAGTTTCTCTCCAAAATCCGTAGCTCGGAAGTTTCATTCAAAAGTCCGTAACTCGGAAGCTTCACTTCTCCTGTTTTTGTACATATAATATACGTGCGACGATCAAACTGGTTGTTTGAAACCTTTGTGCTGTTTTTTGTGCGCAGTCTTCTGTACTGCAGGCATGGCTGCATGCGCAACTCGATTGCCCGCGACCGTGGTTTTTGGGTAGGAGGCCCAAACGTGTATTTATCATGCATTGTATCGTATATATGAAAAAAAATATATATATATATAGATACATATACACTACATGCGCACGTTCTTTTCCACAGGGGTCTGTGTCGACTAGCTGGACTTAGTGGGCTTCCGCGGAAATCGCTAGAACATATATAGAGTTGAAGGTTTTGTCCCATTGAAAACCAACCACCGTGGGAATACACGAGCTCACGATCGGGCCGTTGCAACCCCATGCGCTTCTTTTGCTCATGAGCGGAGCTGCGCTCTTGGTACGAGGAGGTCCTGCCGGCGCAGTTGCAGAGCTGATCATTCTGTCAGACCTCGATCACACCTGGTGAACTGATTTTTGTTTGTGTGAAGGGCTTAAGTTTTGTTTTCGCAAGTGTTCGGGCCGTTCGCATGGTTCGTTTGGCCCGCCGGTGGGATGGCCTCGCTGTGGTGCAGAAGAGGCTTCGTAAGGAGGGCCGGGCTTGGATTCGAGAACCAGATTCCAAGGAGAAGGAACCTGTTGATGGTGCAGAGTCTGATCAGGCCGAAGACTCTGGCCCACCTCTGAATGCCGACTGCCTGAAATACAACGACACCATCCTGTGGGAGATGTTTCATTGCTGGTGCTTTAAACCAAAGCCAACAGTTGATAAAATTGAGGCTGAGGCAGGGTTCCCCCAAAAAGTTCAATACATGTACCGTTTGGTTATTCTAATTTATTGTAACTTTTTAGGGCCAGGGTACCGCAGTCCACTATTCAATTGGCTCTGTTCCGGGCAGGTGAACGCCCTCTTCGAGATTTCCGAGTACAGGCCGCACCCCAAACAGGCCTACAAAGATGCCTGGACGTTGAAGCGCTTGTGGGGGTACGCACAGCGTCGGCAAAGAGCCGCTGAGAAGAGAAATCAAACACCACGGCAACCTAGGTTGAACTATCAATTTTTCCTTATGTGCTAGTTCATGAACCGTAGCTCAAATCCAAAAAGCATTCGATGGAACGGCCTGGCGAACTATACAACTGCTCAATGAGGATGCTGGGACGCGGCTACTCTTCGCGAAGATCAAAGAGGTTTGTGAACAACAGCATCGTTTCGGCCGCCGTTTCATCAAGAGTCCTGCCAGAGACCAGCTGCAGGAAGAGGCGGATGTTTGTCTTTGTCCTGCAGCGCCGGTGTTACATTTTTGGATCGCGCTTTCAAAAACATCTGGAAACAATTGGAATCACCCTGCAAACAATTGGAATCCCCCTGGAAGGGTGAGGGGCCTCACGATCAGCCCCATGCCCACGAAGACCGCTTGGGTGCCAAGGACAAAAACCATATGTTGCCAGAACGGCTGTTTCTTCTGAGATCTTAAGGGCCCTACATTTGAACATTCATGTCTTGTTTTCTTGTCCCATTTTCGCAGCCTCAACCAGCCAGGAGGCCGAGACCGACCCCTATCAGAGTGGAGCCGACCTTGCGCCGTGCGCCAATGAGGACTCCAAGGATCCAGCGGCGGAAGATGAGGATCTAGAAGTGTTGTCATTTGTTCCAGCTCCCAAGAGCAAGGTTCATGAACTGCAAATGGAGCTCATCAACTTGCAAAGGGAGATTTCCAAAAGGCTATCAAAAGGTTTCTAGCCTTGAGCATTGAAGCATTTTTGGCGGGGTTTGGAGATGCTTTTGAAAAACAGCGGAAAATATGGAAACCCATCAGCCCACGCCGCCGGCCCAGGTGGTCCTCAAGCC